ATATATATATAATTACATGACAGATGTCGGACAAATAAGAGAAGCAACACATGACCTGCCGGTGATATTCGGTAGTTGCTCCATCAGTTTTCCCAAAATCCCAGTCGGTTTCTTCGTCATTTAGCATGGCATCGGCTTTTCACACATAAATAAAGTGTGTGAATTGTTTAATCCCAAATCAAGTAAATTAGTAAACGAAAAGGATTTTAGGCACCTGGCCTTTTGGGCCCTTCGGTAAGGTACATCACTTGCCTTGGCTATGAGCAAGGGGTTATTACCCCTCTCATATGTCGGTAAAAACCAACATTTAGCCTATCACCTTATAAAATTGATAAGTTTTAACTCTTTATTTTATAATATAACAGTTTTAACTTTTTAGCTTACAAAATTGATAAGTTTTAATCTCTTACTTTACAAAGTTGGTAGGTTTTTATCCAATACCTTATATTATGATATTTTTAGTCTCTTATCGATACGAATTAAAAAAAATAGCTCTCACCTAATATCAAATTATAACGTTCTGTTAGTTTTATTAGTTGACTGTTAACATCCGTTAGCATTTCGTTATAAAAAATATGAAATTTAAATTTAATTTTATTTGTTAGTTCCATTAACGAAATATTAATAGATGCTAACAGTCAGTTAATAGAACTAACTGTTAATTATATAACTAATAGTTAGTTAATAAAACTGACAATCAGTTAACAAAACTGACAGTCATCTAATAAAACTAATAAAATATTATAATCTGATGTTAAATATGGGCTATTTTCTTCAATTCATATAGATAATGGGCTAAAAATATCATAATATAAGGTGATGGGTTAAAACCTATCAATTTTGTAAGATGAGGGGTTAAAACTTATTAACTTTGTAAAGTAAATTGTTAAAAATGTCATATTATAAGATTAAAGGTTAAAACTTACTAATCTTATAAGGTAAGAGACTAAAAGTTAGTTTTAACCCTCGTATATTAGCATTGATTCTCTTAAAAAAAAAAAGGATTTTATTCTCCTTTAAGCATCTACATTTTCTTGAAAAGGAAGAGATTCAGATTCTTTTTTCTTTTATTTTATTTTTGATATAGCAATTTTTATTTCTGAACAAGAATACTATTAAGAGTGGAACTAAATTTTAAGATGAAAATTTTTTAATTATTAATTATGTAAGTTCATATCAACCTACACCATCGTTAATAGTTTTCATAAATTTATTTTAAAATTTGGTCTTAAAATTGATTCCGACCATCTCTATTGTTGAAAACATATGACCCAGACAGTAAACCATTTTTTTTTTCTTTAGGAAGTTCTTCAATATACCTCAAGTTTTAAAAGAGGGTTTTTTTTTTTTTAAAGCTATATAATATAAATAATTTTTTTTATCTCTTAACCAATTTTATTTGCGTATCATAAAATTTAAATTTAAAATTTTTTATTTCTAATAAAAAAATTACAATTAAACTATATTTAAGTCATTCGTTAAGTTTCAAAACAGATTAAGAGCCTCTTTGGTGTGGCTGGAGCCAATGTTTTCAAAACCGGATCGGTCATTGAACCGTTTTCAGGTCTGGTTTCTGGTTTGATCGGTTCAATCGGTTCAATCGGTTGAACTGGTGAATCGGCCGGTCCAAACAATAGGGAATGTTTGATGAGAGGAGCAAGCTATAGGCATGGATTTTTTTATTTGGTGTTGATAATTTTATAATTTTGTTAAAGTTAAAGGTTAAAATGGGTATAAGAAAGGAATGGGAAGGGTGAAATTGGAAAAAATTGAAAGAAGATTGCATGAGAAATTGAACCGGTGGTTTTTTTGGTTTCACCGGTTCTATCGGTTTTTATCGGTTTTACCGGTTTGACCGGTTTCTACCGATTTATCGGTTTTTATCGGTTTTGACCGGTTTTGACCTTAAACGGTTTTTTTATATGAACCGAACCATTTTCATGACTGGTACCGGTCCGACCGATTCAACCGATCGATCCGGTCTGATTTTAAAAACCTTGGCTGGAGCTTTTAATAGAAGTTTTATTAGAAGGAATCTGTTCTGAAAGGACTGTTTTTGAGAAGTTAGAAGTGTTTGATAAAATTTTTTATAAAAGTACTTGCAAAGTAAAAAGTTGTTTGATAAATTTTTTTATAAAAGATCTTTTAATGTTAAAATGATTGAAATAGATATTGTTTATTTTTTTATCA